AACGTGTCATCTCCGTCTGGCTGCACATCCCGATTCACACTCTATTCCAGTAGTTGGCAGTAATGCCCCTCCGGAAGTTGCTTGCCAACCAAAACAAAATAGAAGAAGAACAACTATAAACATCCACGAAAGGTTGCCATCTTTGCCTGACCCTCCGCAAACACTGAAGTACAGCAATAATAATCAAGCATAACTTTCTGAATGTGACGGCCGCCGCCATTTTCATTTGCTTGATTCGCTCCTTCTTCGTCTTCTTCTTCTTGTGTTTTATGGCGGTTGGCAACTTTTGGTGCATTACCGCCACCAACTGCTTGAATTTCTCCTTCAATACTGGCAGTAATACCGCAGATCGTCACTAGGAGTCGAGGAACCGAGATAGCGTGATGTGTAAACAGTCGTCAAAACCGAGCTCGGCCTGGTTAACTGATCCGAGCTGGGACCGGTCTCGGCATGGATCGGTTTTTCAAGGGTAGTGTAAATGGGGTAATAGTCTCTGGGAGGTGAAGGGGGACAGGAAGGAGGGCAAAGAGGACTAGACAGGCTTTATCAAAGAGCCGTGAAAAACAGGATGATTCTTGAAGTTATCTGGCAGCTTGAGGCAAACTACAGAGTGACTGAGCACTTCCTGGAAGAGAGTTTGCAATTACAAGCCTTAAGGTTAATGCCAGGAGTTGATTAAAAAAAAACCTTTTGTGCAGGTGAGCACTGGGGAGCAGGAATCTTTTTGAGTGAAACCCTTCGACGGTGGTAGTCCACTAATAAAATGCAAGCTACAACAAAACTACAGATGTTTAGGGATGGCAATGGTTAAGGAAGACCACTGAGAGGCTGGTGACTAGCTTGTTGTGGGCACATACTGGAAAGGCTAGAAAAATTTGCCATGTGGGCTCAGTGAATGAGGCAGGACCTAATGGGAGTAGGAACCTAAGCCTGCACTGGAAAAAAGCCAACTTGCATTTTTTGGCCTAAAATCGTAATATTAGTTGGTTAAACTTAAATATATAAATTATTGTTACTTGTGGCAATAAAATTTGTTAGCACAACAAATCAAGCCAGTTATATAATCTAAAACCCTTTGACGATCTGTTAATACTTAAATCTTTAAGTTGGAGTTCAATACAAGGGAGAAGAGTTCTGCAAACTCTTATATCTTTGTTGTGGAATGTGAGAAAGCCAACTTTCCAAGTTGGCTCTTCACTTGGCCTCATTGTTGCTGTGCTGCCTCGAGCTGGAGTCCATACAGGTAAATAACCCTTAATTAAATTACAATGAAGCTCTAAAATGATACGAAAATGTTATTCTAAGTTGTGTTGTGTAGTATTGTACGTCATTTAATGAAGAAGACAGACAATTTTTTTTTAACATTTAAAGTATTAGGGAAGCAGCTGTTCCCACGGTTGCGGTTCCGAATTCTCCTGAGTGGTGCCTAACCTTACACGAGTGAATATGATTGGTCGTTTATCAAAGGGGCGGGATTGTTGTGGCGGAAAGTTCGTAAGCCAGTTTGGTTGTGGCCAGTGTCTTGGAAGCATCTTGTTAAACAGTTAGCAACTTAGTGCTAGTAGGTTCCCAATAGGAAATTACACAGTAGCACTTAGCAACGACACTGTCAAGGAACGCTATGAACAGCGGAAACATGCAAGAGGAGGAGAGTTTTGTGTCAGAGGTCATGGATGAGGCTCCTCCATCATACATTTTTTATTTTGTTGTTTAGTTTGTTGTTGTGGAAGAGGACGCCAGGGCGGCAGAAGCTTGAGAGAGTTGAGTAAACTCAAAAGCAAAACTTGAAATATTAAGTTTAATTGCCCAACTAAAAATTTTATCGAAGTTTGTTGCCTTGAAATTTTGAGTTCATTCAACTTTTTTTTTTTTTTTTGCAGTGTGGTTTGGAGGTCCAGTGCCAGAAAGCAATGTGTTATAATATTGCAAACAGAAGTACTGAAAGCAGGGTCAGCAAAGGTGCCACTGGTGATTCTGTTGAAAGCCTTGAAATGTTCTCAATTTAAAGACTTGATCATTATTTCCTTTTTTTATATGAAATTATGCTAGCTAAATTCTCAGCAACAGCAACTCACAACAAGTAACACAAGTTGGGATAAAGTGAATACCTCTGTTTGTTTTATCTTCCCAGAGCATCAGCCCTTTCTTGATGAAGTGTCACTTACTAAAGGGAGCCAGACCCTGACAAGTGAATGACAAATGCTGATAGCAAACCACAAGCACCGGAAGACCCTGAAAGACAGCTCCTGCAGAACTGTCAGGGCAGAACTAAATATGGATCTGTTTGGATAACAGGAGCCTTAACTGTGTGGGAACCAGAACCTAAGGACTGTGAAATGATAAGAGTCAAAAAGAGTTAAAAACATACACTGATGCATTAGGTCGTAGAAGAATGTGTAAGGGGTAAGATGGATGCCAATAAAAAGGTGTGCATGGTGTCTCTATTTCTAAATGAAAGTCTATTTCTAAATGAAAGTCTATTTCTAAATGAAAGTCTATTTCTAAATGTTTGTACCTTTTTATCAGCTCATAGAAGCATGTGACATCAGATCCTCATTTGTGAGAATACAAGTTTTGAAGTTATGAATAAAATTTACAGTTACAACAATACAGTCAGAATTTATACATTTACGAGTAACAGTTTTTACATGCAAATATCTCACATTCGTAAGAATCAAAAAATTATGAGCAGGAAACACTCATTTACAAATACAAAGCAAGAATCCACATAGAGGAATCACAAATTAACCAGTAGAAATCACAAATTAATGTGTACAAATCACAAGATTAGGATTATGAATCTCAAATTTATGAGTGAGAATCAGATTTAAGAGCAAAAATCACGAATGTACAAATGCAATTCACAAATTCATATGAAGAATTACAAATTTACGAGTAGAAATCACAAATGTATGAGTACGAGTGACACATTTCCATATGCAAACCACAAATTTAAAAAATAGAAATAAAAAATCTAGATTTGTGATTTTTGTTCATACATTTCTAAATTTGTGATTTATACTTCTATTGTTGCAAAGTTGCAGCTTTTCATAACCTTTTAACTTGTATTCTCACAAATGAGGATCTGATATTGCATTTTTAGTGAGCTAACAACAAGGAACAAACAAAACACATTTGTGCATATTGTTGACGTTAAATTTTGAAATTCAGGCATCAGCGCATACGCCTTTATAGATGGTTATCTCACGCCATACTTAAGTTACTGCTTAAGTGTAATTTAACAAATGTTTATAATCATTGCTGAGTGTCAGATATTAAACTGCTCAAACTGACTAAATTATTATTACGGAGTGCGCCAATAGTTGTTCTGGAGGAGTTAGGAGAAGACCCCCACCTCACTCCCCCATGAACATCCAGGGGAAGGACATAGAAACTCTGGAGAGTTTTAAATACCTGGCTGTACACATCAATAATAAACTGGACTGGACTCATAACACCGACGTCCTTTACAAGAAGGGCCAGAGCTGCCTCCACCTCCTGAGGAGGCTGAGGTCCTTGCTGTTAGCAGACCCCTGCTTAAAACCTATGATTCTGTGGTGGCATCAGCCCTCCTCTACGCTGTTATCTGCTGGGCACCTGGCAGCGCAGAGTGGGACAGAAAGAGACTGAACAAACTGGTGAAAAAGGCTGTTCTGTTCTAGGCTTTACTCTGGACTCGGTGGAGGAAGTGGCTGAGAGGATGGTGGTGTCCAAGCTTACATCCTCATGGACAACACCTTCCACCCTCTGCACCAGACTGTAGAGGAGCTGAGCAGCTCATTTAGTGAAAGACTCTTACACCCTGTGTGTCAAAAAGAGCGCTACTGCAGATCATTCATCCCTGCTGCCATCAGACTTTACAATGTGGCACTATAACTGCAATAATTTGTGCAAAACTAAAATACAATTACTATTTAATAGCCTGTGCAATAATCCTGTTAAATAAGAAACTTCAGTTGTTATAGTTATCTCACTACCTCAATGTTGTTCCTTACCTGGTGGCACTTTAATGTACAACACCAAATCCAAGTCACCTTATATCTATGCCCAATTCTTTTTTTCTCGATCAACCGTTATATTTGGACGCAATATATACCCCATGCAACTTTTCCTCTTTTTAGCACCTTATTGTGATCTTAATGTGACGATATGCAGAAAAGTTAATGGGGTATAATGCATTTTTAAGGAACTGCATCTATGTTGCATCCTCCTCAGAGATTTACAACAAGCACAGACACCCAGGAGTTTTTTTTTATCCAGTCTGATGTAAAAGAACTAAAATCTTAGTGCCTCCTACTTTTCTTTTGCTCAAATATAACATAACACCAGAGTGCAAGTCAAAGAGTTGTTTGTTAAAAGAAAAAAAAAGCACTATGGACATACACGAAATGAGAATATTTTTCTAATTGACAAGCTATTCTTGCAAGGCAGAAGAATCTCCATCTCCTGTGTGAACAGTGGATGGGTCAGAGTGCTTCTCCTGAACGGGATGCAGCCAGAGCGTCAGGTGGAATTACAGAAGGGGCTCGGTCTCAGCAGACTCTACCTCAGTGGGATTCCCTCCTCCCTTCCTCCAGCCAGCCGCTCTGATGTTTATTGCCTTTCCAAGCATTTTTAAATCATCCATCCATCCATTTTCCATCATGCTTATCCCACACGGGGGCATCTTTAAACCACACACACATTTTTATTCCACATAATGCTCCACATTTTTCACCAGATGGAAGAAATCCCAAAACTGACATGAAACCTTAGACAGACTGAGAAACTGTCATTTGGTCCAAAGTACAAGTGGAAAATTGTGGGTTAGGCTGATTAAGAAGCAAACTGACAGAATCTACCAAACCCTTCACAGCCTCTTCTAATCTCCAAAAGTCTGATACATCCTTAGCCCCCCTCAGGACTCATCTTTCAGCGTGGGTGTTTTAGAAAGGACCAGCCTGCCAACGATGCATGAGAACATGACGGTTTCTAAATGCCAGACCAGCCCGACCACTTACCGCCTCCGAGTCTTCAAAGCCATGAAGGTAGAGGTTATCGTACATGGAGGACTAAGATTCCAGGAAGCGGATCTCTAGTGCAGAAGACCTTATCCAGAGAGGATGGACGAGAAGGCAAGAGGACCCAAAAAGCACACCGACAGCCTCTTTCTCCACATGAAGGTAGAAAGCGTTGAGCCCACACCACAACAGAGCGGCAACATACAAAAAGAAAACGAGGAGCTCTTCTCTTTCTTGATATTAAACAGAACTTTAAAACCTACAGCTTGAATAAGTATCCATTCCCATCCTAAGGCAGACTAGCTATTCCCAGACCTGCCGTTTCACCTGCATTCAGAGCTCTGATAGCTCCAGCCAATTGCTTCCTTCTGCACTGGCTGATGGCAGCACCGGGATGCTGCCCTACCATTGGCTGACAGGGACTCCAGTCAGCATGGCCAGGCTGTGAGTAAGGGGAAGAGAGAGAGAGAGAGAGAGAGAGAGAGAGAGAGAGAGAGAGAGAGAGAGAGAGAGGGAGGGAGGGGTCTTTGAAGCCTGAGAGCATCATTAAGCAACAAGATGTGTGGGTGTGTATGTGTGTGAGGTAATCTCCTAAAATAGACAACCATTTGCAAAGACTGACATTTAATTTACACATGCAGAGGTGAACAGGCTGAGCGATGATACTTTAAACAGGAGACAGGACTGATGATATCGACCCTGACGGTGTGTTACAGGAACTACTCACATCCTTACAGCTGCGTGGACACAATAGGACCATTAAAGCGATCTATTACCATTTGTAACAGTTATTGATTGTGTAGCATATAATAAACAAGGCCTACTGTACACGTTTAGAGTGAACAGATTGACACTTTATACCTACAGTCAAAGAGAGTGGGAAAGAAGGTGAAAGAGGTTTAATTCAATTCAATTCAGTTTATTTCTATAGCGCAAATTCACAACACGTGTCATCTCAAGGCACTTTACAGTTCAACAGATCAAACATTAAAATTGATTCGGTTTTCTATCTAAGGAAAACCAGTTGATTGCATCGACTCATTGACTCGCATGCATCCCTCACACTAAGCATGTTCGCAGCGCCAGTGGAGAGGAAAAACTCCCTTTGAACAGGAAGAACCTCCAGCAGAATCAGGCTGAGTGTGAGCGGCCATCTGCCGAGGCCGAACGGGGCTCAAGGAGACAGAAGCAGAAATACAAAAGGCAACTGTAACTAGCCATATTTCAACTACAATTTAAACTAAATTTCTTTATGATCAGAATTGCTAAGTTTAGAATTCAACAAACTTTTAAACTGATTATATTTTGAGGGCATTTTTGCATAAAATAAAATAGTCCACCCTGAGATTTGGAACTACTTCCAGTCAGGATATAATAAATGTTTCTCTAGTGTCGGTACTCTTTCTCTATAAAAATATTGATCGTGAACAAATGCATTCCACACATTTATATTCAGTTTTTGACTCTACCATGGATAGAAATATTTAAGGAATCTTTTAAAATGATGTCTCCCAAGAACATTAAGAGGAACTAAAACCAAGCAAATTGAACAATGGATGTGAAGACTTCAGAACAATTGATTTTAATCAATTTTGTACATGAAACAGCTTTACTGTCACTGGCGAAATGCGTTAGTTTGTTTTTTTCATTTAAGTAATCTTACAAATCAGTTTTTACACACTGTTAATGCCATTACATCACTTGGCATTTAACGCAACTCGCTACTACAACTGGATAACTCAAAGCTACTTTTTATAAATACACTTTCTGTGCTGCGGGGAGAGATTTTTACTGCAAGGACAAAGCAGGGAGCTGAGATGGACATACCCGATGCCGATTGGTCAAGGAGTTGTAATGTGGGCGGGTGTTCATCATGCCTTGATTTGATGAAAATGTTCCTACAAAGAAGCACTTGTTGAAATCAAAGGCTAAATATTTCTGTGATTTGCTCATTTTTTTTCAGGAAAAAAGACATCAGTTAAAAGCATCTCTAAGTAGTATTGCTTTCTGCACATATTTCACTTAGTGGTGTTTGTTGTGCGAAATTGATTTCCAATCTGTGGGTTGTTGGTTCAAGACCCACCTCATACTTTTAAAAGTTGCGATAAAACACAAGCATTTTGGCCAATGTGACTAATTTGTATTGGTTGCCATAGCTTTAGATTAGATTTGAGGTCGGGAAGTTCGGTCTGGCATTGCTCAATAGTAGCGGGAGTATGCTCGCACAATATCTGGCGGGCCAATCAAATTGTCAGGGCGGGCTTTATACGATGATGGACAGATGATCAACAGGAACGTAATCAACCACGTGACCAAAGCGCGCTTGGGTGACAACAACAATGGCTGCTGCCGGAGAGTTGAGGTGAGTAGATTCTGCTATTAGGTCTGTTCTAGAAGATATCGACAGCAAATTAATTTTAAAAGAGGAACAGAGAAACGCGATCAAGGCATTTGTTGAAAAAAAAAAAGATGTTTTTGGCGTCCTTCCTATGGGATTCGGCAAAAGTTTAATTTATCAGCTGGCTCCCTTGGTCGCTTAACATACGTCACGCACTCCGTTGCTCCTATTGGTTGTAGGTCTATCCAATTGAATGCAGAGGCATTTTTTTTCCTGGTTCATTCGAAACACGCCCCATAATCACAGCTCTATGGAGCAGTATCAGACTCATATTCTGACTAGAATTGAGTCGGACTACGTCAGGCTAGAGTTTAACCAAAAGACAGGTTGAAAACATAACTTCCAACCCGATTAAAACCAAAAACTGTGGAAAAACTATTATGTTTAAATAAAAATGACAAACACCTTTCATTTTCTCATTATTGCACAAAGACTTTCGCTGTCTGCTTGAGCTTATTTCACTAAAATGGCAGAAAACAGTGTACCTTAAATTATTTTTCACTTCTAAGGCATTTTACACACAAAAATTGTAAAGATTTAATTATACAGACCAAATACTAACAATTTCAAATTAACTTATATGGAGAAAAAAAAAGCAATATTGCAAAAAAATCACAGGTTATATTACTAACTGTAGTTCTGCACTTCACCAGTAGGTGGTGACATGTTCACATGAGGCCTCATGAACTGTGGGGATCGTTGAAGCAATTTGGCCAAACGGTTCAATGCCTCATGAGGCCTCATCTCACCATCACTAGTTGAGGACCCAAATGCAGAGACGGAAGGAGGCAGAGATCAGTTTTGCAGATTTAATTATGATCCAAAGGAAACAGAAGCAAAACTTCACAAAAAAACAACAACCTGAAAACCAAAATCCAGGATGCATCAGGGAAAACACACATGAGGAACTAAGAAACAATGAGGAATCAGCTAACAGTAACTGAGGAGGAGGAGTATAAATAGGAGACTGAACAAAGACCAGGCTAATTGGCAGATTGGGAGCAGGTGTGGAGAGAAGACTCAAGTAGGGAGCTAGGAGGAGACTGGCACAAGAGGGCAAAAGAGAGCTACTCAAAAAATAAAAGACTGCATAAATATAACACAAAATGAAATAAACAAGAAAACACAATATAACATAAATCAAATTGGAACTGAAATATTAAAAAGAAACTCAAACTCAAAAGTCCACAAGGGGAGAACAGCAACAGTTTGATTTCCTTAAGTCTTATGTCTTTGGTAAAACATTATTAAACGAATAAAGACTCAGCATTCACACACAAAGAGAGTGCAGACAATGACACCCCTTATCACCGTAATGGTTTATTATGGCTACTGGACCATTAAAGCTACTGTGTGTAATAATTACAGGGATATACAGTCAGAAATGTAATATATTATACATAACTATGTTATTTTATCATCATCTACGAGCTCAGCCTCTTAACCTTAATATTTGCGTTGCCTTAGAATTCGTTATTTATAATTACATAGGAGCGGGTCTTGCAGCCATGGAGGCAGACATCTTTGCGCTACGGCAGCGCAGAGCCAACAAACTTCACAGCCAAACGTTACAACGATGTAGAAAAAATAACGGGTATATTTATTATCTTAAGTCTACATGAAATCTATACCCTACACAGACTAATGAAATACTATCTGTAAAATTATCTATGTAAACAAACCTCATCACTTGAGAAGGTAGGTGATTCCGACGTCGTTGAAGACATTTTGTCCCGTAACGCTCGCCGTACTATTGGGGGGGAGAAGCGGTGGGGGGGAGATGTTCATGTTGCTGCAGTCTGCAGTCTGACCGCTAGATGTCGCTAAAAGTTACACACTGTAGCTTTAACAATTGCCATGAGCACTAATTGAGTTACTACGATAACAAAACACAACCCTCTCTGGCATATTGGGCTGCAATGAAAAAACTGAATTACAGGCCTTCTTTACTAGCTGTTATATGTTTTGTAAATCTTTTTTTTTGTGTGTGTGTGTTTTTTTAATGCACTCACAGGGGAAACACACAAACCTAAAGAAAGTTTAAAAAACAAAATAAAAATAAAACATCAGGACCTATTTGTTAGATCCATGTTAATACATATATAAAAGTAGAGTAACAGCACCCTCTTGTGGTATCTTGTTTTAAGCAAACTAAACAAAAGGGCAATATTAAGAAACCTTTACTCTCTACCTTTCTTCGAAAAACGTCACAAACTATGGGAAACAATTAGCTCTACATTACATGGCTAAGTTTTAGACCTACATTCAACAACATACATTTATTAATCCCCTGCAAAAAAAATTCCTATTAACCACAAAGTGGTTTCAAACTGTAATCCAAAACATAAACTTTCAATAAACTAAGGTTATACCTCTCCCACAATTTAAATGTTGCTTTGATGCAAGTAGTCATCATTTATTAGTAGTGAATGAGTAAAACTAACAGGAAAAGAGCCCCTCAGCATGATCTTCTAACACTATGCTTCTAAGCATGTATATCATTCTTAGGTTTGAAAACCTCACACTGATGCCACCAACCATGTCTAAAGCTATTAAAGCTAAACAGCCACATAGATTTCATTTGACCATAAACCTTTTCTAGAGAAGGTATGACTTTTTCCATGCGGGCTTGAGAATTATATATCTATATTGTAAAACAGGCTTCTTTCTCTCTTAATAAACTCTACCTGCATATCAATGAAAAAAACTCTTCTAGGTGGACAGTAGTGCTGGGATTCCAGCAGTTCTCACTTTATCCAAGCTTTTCCACAATTAGACTTTTCTTATGGAAAAAATGCAATAAACATACCCTATATTCAGCAAGGAAATACGTCACCTTTGCAGGAAGACAGGTAAGAGTAAAGATGCATCAAATATGCAGAACACAGATTCCATCTTCTAGCTTAAATATGCTATTGTGCAAAAACATATGAATCAAAAGTAAACAGAAGGTGATCTAAATTCAGAGCAAACTGCAGATGTTAATGTCAAGTTTTGGTATTCTGTCCAA